AGTAATATTTTCTTGAAGATACTATTGCAATAAGTTTAAGGATATGTTATATCTCTGTTGATTCTGTTCCGTTTCTAGAAGACTTTTTGTAAATAATCTTTATACAGAATATGATAAAGAAACATTGATGATTAAAGAAAGAATATTGAAAAAACAATGTTCTTTTTAAAAGTAATTTATTTTCTGTATTGAAGGAAGTTCTGCACAGTTATATTTTGTCTTATCTTTGGTCTAATCTTTTGCGTTTGTTTAGTTATTCGTTAAATTTATTTGATTTCGCGGACAAGGCGGTATTTTGTACACGAATAAATTGTCTACATAGATATTGTTGTTTGAAATGTCGGACGTGTTATTCTAAATAATATTTTTGTAATATCAATTTAAATCCGATGTTGTTGGAAGTCGATGTCGATTTTCAAGAAAACGATATCAGTATTCTATCTATCTATGCTAATATAAAGGGTTCTTGAAATAAAGGATATTTCCAAAGCAAATGTTATAAATTGATTTTTTAGTTGAAACGTTAAATAATATCTAATTAATAAGACGCCTAATATTTTTGGCCAAGGCTGTATATTTAATAACGATATTATCTCAAAACTTTAATATAATCTTTTATTTCTTCTTTATATATGTGTAATATGTACGACATGTAAAACTAAAATGCTTATTATTATATTTTATAAAATTAAAATCATTGCAATTATTTTAATTTAATAAATATATGTTGCTTTTTATAAATAATTTATAATTATATTCATTTTTGTTGAGCGGTGTTAGTATGGTTCGCAGATTTTATTCAAAAGAGCTTTGTATATCTCTATAGATTGCGCGATAAAATGTGATTATGATTTTCATTTGAGCAAATCATTTCGACTGGAAAAGAGACTCTTGATTTTTCTATAGCTTTGTTCGCTGAATTATTGTACGTGGATATACTAAAATTATTTAAATCTTAAATTTGTATAATTTATTGATGTTATTATATATTTTTTAACAAATGGTAATTTCCATGTAATGCATTTCTATGTAATCTATCGATGAATGAATGACAAATAAATTTTGATATTACGTTATATAATTCTATAATTCAAATTTCCTACCCATTCGCCAGAGGAATTATCTATATACATATCTTTGAAAAGATTTGATTTACCTTTTATAATATTGCTTATTAAAATCTTCTGTCAAAATTAATTATTAATTGTGATTCTTTATTTATTTTTTAGTACTTTCGATAGAATTTTGTTGATTAAATTAGTTACTTTAGATTAATGAATTCTGTTAAAAATAGATTAGAAATGACTAATATTGCTTATATAACATTTTGCAAATTATTAAAACAGGTATTACAGTATATAACAATCATTCTTTTTAAAAAGGTATTAAAATAGCCTTATAATATGTATATAAGGAATAAATATATGTCTAATAATAACAAATGACTTAATAGATATTTAATAATTTCTTAAATAAAACATATATTATCTACAAGAACTATAAAATACAAAAAAAAATCTTTTTCCTAAAATAGCATTTGACACACACATATACACATGTAAAATAAAGAATATCAAATAGTGAAATAAGATCTGATATAATTTTCATAAATCTACATCTTTCTATATTAGTAAAAGAACAAAAAATGTTTTATCCATTTAACTGTTATACTCCCAGGCAGATGATCGGTCCATCGATATCGAGTCGACGTCGAATCGACATTAATTATGGACCGATAATTTCTGCCTGTGCTGCTATTTAACTGTCTCCGACACAATTTAAAAGATACTAGGAAATATATAGGAACATTTTAAACGCGCACAGGTCAACATTGACTTAAATGTTTTTTTTTTAAACGTTGTGCGTGAAATGACCTTGTTTTTAGATCGCTTTCACATAATGCTTGTATGGTCAGTTTAGATTAGACCGCTGTAGATCATCGTTGACTTCCAAGGAGAAGACAACAGTGCCTTGTCCATCTCGCTTATCTTGATTTTTATTCGGCTAGATTTTGACTTTTAGGCATCGCCGTATCGATCATTTCTAGCTTGACGCAATATTTGGATTGAGCAGGTTTGATTATGATTTTTCTACTATAACAAATTTTCTTAAATTTAAATCTTTTGAAAATTAAATATATATTTAATATTGTTTTATTATAATTATATTCTTCAACATTAAGAGCATGTTTAACCATTTTCATTAAATAATTTTAATATATGTCCAAAGCTTATATATGTTATTAAAACAAATTGCTGCATATTATTAAAGTTATATTAATTTTGTATATATTTTATATAATAAATATTTAAATTATAATATAATTCTTTGAAAGAATATACATCAGTCAAATGTTAATGCGTATTTACGAAATCATCATTTGTTCAATTTATAGCAGAGAATAGTTGATTTTTCAAATAATATAAATACTGTTAATGGTTTTTATGTAATGATTATAATGTATGTACAATAAATTGAAAATTTCAAAGGAATAAAATCCTAATTAAAAGAATTGCATGAATATTTAATAAAAATTATTAATTATTATTGATGATTATTAGTTTTCTTACAAAAGTGACACAGCATTATAATAAAAGGACGTTTTAATTCAAATTGTAAAAAGTTTGTTCCCATATAGTGATCATGTGGAAAATATTAGTGATATGTATTGTGATCACGGGCCTAGCTGCCGAGGACATGATTAGCTACGAGGGTTACAAAGTCTTCAGTATTATCCCGACAACATCATCGCAGTTGAGAGTATTTAATGCGTTGAAAAAGGCGAACAACAAAGTTGACAAAGTGAATAAATTATTCATTTAGATAAAATTAACATTATCTATATACATTTAGATAGAATTAAAAATATAAACAATTTTAACACATTTTTTCTTTTAATAGGAAATTTGTATACCGTTAATTGATTCTTTAAAATTGTATGATTTTATTTTTAATACAGCAATTCTCATGCAGTTTGTATCAACGAAAATAAATGAAAACCTATATAATTAAAAACAATTTATATATATGTAAAATATAAAGTCACGAAATAAGAATAGAAATGATTAATGTGTAATTAATTTCTCAAAAACTTTAAATTTTAATTTTAATAAAACAAAATTACAAAATATCATTTACAGTACAGCTTCTGGCAAGGACCAAGTTCAATAAACAAAGAAGTGATTATTATGGTATCTCCGCACGTGCTTTCAGAATTCTTTGAAATATTGGACATTAGCAATACATCGCATAAAATCAAATTTAACAATGTCCAAAAACTAATCAAAAAAACAATGCCTAAGAATCAATCACAGAGCTTTGATTTTGAAAGTTATCATACTCTCGATGAAATCTATAATAATCTGGAAGAGTTGGCCAAGAAGTATTCCGATAAAGTGCAGGTCGTCGTAGGCGGTAGAACATATGAAGGGCGCGAAATCAAAGGCGTAAAAATAACTTCTGGTGAAGAGAAACCTGGAATTTTTATCGAGGGTGGCATGCATGGTAGGGACTGGATTTCACCGGCGACTGTCATGTATATCCTGCATCAATTATTGACTAGCAAAAATCCGGATGTGAGATATGTAGCTGATAATCATAATTGGTATATTTTTCCAATATTCAATCCTGATGGATATGCGTACACTTTTATCAAGGTAAGATTTATTTCGCACGGCGTTATCTAATTGTAATTTTAATTATAAATTGAGATTGTACACACGATTGGTCTGCTTTAATGATTTTCAGAACCGATTATGGAAGAAAACTCTTAAACCATCCAGTCTGCATCCTGACTGCATTGGATCGGATCCCAATAGGAACTGGGATTTTCGATGGAATAGTAAGTATTTAATATAAAAAGTATAACAATTAATAGAAAATTGAAAGTTTATATTACATTGGAATTTTAAAGAGTTTATGACATTAAGATTTGTCTAATGTAATATTGTAACTTGACGTTCTTAGCGACTGGCGTGAGCAATAATCCTTGCGCCGAGGATTATCCTGGAGAGTCACCATTTTCGGAAATAGAGATGAAAACCATGTCCGAATATATTAAAGTCAATGCCCGTTATTTCTATGCGTACGTCTCGTTTCACAGCTTTGGTCAACGATTAATGTTTCCTTACGGTTATACGGAGACACATATCTTTAGTTATGATAAATTGGTAAGAAACTGCAGTAATACAAAAAAATGTAGTTAAAAAATATTTGTGCAAAAGAAATATTTTAAAAATAATGCATTTCTGCGGCTTTATATAATATTTTTACATTAAACGTGCTTTCAATTTGTACGTTTTTTAAATAATTTAAAGTATCATATTATTTGCACACTCACTATAATTAAATATTGCAGTAAGAATTAATCTAATACTTGTATTTTCAGTATCGTGTCGGCTTAGCAGCAATTGCTGCTCTTGAAAAGGTGCATGGAACCAAATATTGGACGGGATGTCTTGGCGAGGACAATGGTATGTAAAGGTTTAATCATCTGTAATAATATACTGCGTGTAATGCTTTATTTATTACGTTTTTCTCTTCATAACAATATAACCAAAAATAATATTATAATAATTTTATTTCTGTTTTATATACACAGGATAAATACACTAAATACAGATTTTACACCGGTTTTACATAATTTTTTATATATAGTAATTATTGTATTTTTTTTATCGAATGGCG